ATATGCGCTATCTGTAGCTAGTGGTAATGAGGTCAGTTTGGGTACAAGTCATTGAATAATTAGGTGGGCGCCAGGTGACGTGGTGTGAATGTTTGGTATGGAAATCAGAGTTGCTAAGATAATGGTTGTGGTTAGCGCACCGTTGCAGGAATCGATCACCACTGTTTGCTCGAAGTACATCAACTCCGAAGCGGCTTCACAAGTGTTTTTCATAGTCTGAAAGACGAAGCATCTGGGCATTAATGTTATCAGTAACAATCACACTGTCAGATAAGAGCTGTGAATAGAATATGACTGCGATACCCACTGAAATGTATTCAGTAGGGGCATAAAATAGAGCGATGAAAAAGTACCTTGTCTTTAGACGCTGCTTAATAATTGCAGTACAGGTTCTGTTAGAGAAACCAGGTGAACGAGCCGGTGATCGATCGTCGCCATTGGGAAATAGAACTTAATAAACAAAATTCAGTGCAGCCCTACGTATGGTCACCACTTACTAAAAAACGTGAACCCAGTTGAGGTTTTATTGGTTTGTATCAATTAGCATCGCCTATATCGTTGATTGGCTCCAATGTGCTTTGCATCGCTCCTATGTATAAAGCAGTATGCCTCATGCAAATGATTCTGTTCGGTCTCAGCTCGTCTTCGTATTCACATTTGTGGTCGTGAGTTTTGAGCAGTTGCATGAGATATTATCATCAGTTCCGCGGAGACACAGAATCGAAGTCGAAACGCACACATGTGGTTGTTCCCCGGTATCCAGTAGAGCAAACCGCTTTCAGCATATTAGCTGAGGGCAATACCAACACCGTATATACCTTGAGCCAGAGACGAGAAGAGTGTAGTCGTGGTCGTCAGATTCAGAACCAGGAGGTCGAAGATTTGTCACGACGGTGTTATCTATTGAGCGCATTTCGGAGACAGAGCACACATCAATAACGAGAGTGAAAACTGAGAGTTAGTTATGCTTGTTGGCTGATCCGATCAAGTGTACGAAGGTTAAGAATCGATGTGAAATAAAACTCTACATTTGATAGAAGGGCAGCTGCCAAATCGGCGGCAGTCGCTTCCCCATTAGACAGAAAGAAGACAGTTGAGAGGAGACAGAAGGAGTATTGTTGACGTCGTCGAGAGGGCGCATGATACTCTCCGGCTGCCCATTCTGAGAGCTGGATTTTGTGCGAGTTGCCCTGTCTTTAGCCTTTGAATCAATTGTCTGACCCACAAGGTTGTGGGGTACATAGAAGTTCCATTGAGGGACACCACCCAGAGCCTTTGGCTCAATAGCTTGGTCCACAATGCAGTGGGAAGTAACTTCAGCACCGAAGTGTGATTGCGGAGATCCATTGGGACCTGCTTGAGGCCTGTCACACACAGACTTTGAAGCTTTACAACAATGCACACGTGTTTTCCGACCGTATGATGTTAGAGACCTGCTACTACGGCCAGCCGCAGGTGTAGGTTGGCGGGTTTGCATCAATTTGACTAGAGGCTGTCTGGCTTGAGAGGGGGGGGCAGTGGCAAGCGATTGAGCACCGGACGGTGCCCTCCCACCGTCAGAGACAATGCGTGGCGCTCGTGATTTACGCCAATCAAGCTGTGAGCTTAGAACTCGTAGACCAGCTGCCTCCGATGGCTAGTTTATAAAGGAAGAGTGCCATCGACATCTCACTAACCTCCGAAGAGAATTGGATTGTGAGAATGAGTTACTCTGACCCCTAACCACTGACCTGTGTGGTATAAGTGACACTGAAGGCAGTTGAAAAGTGCCACCCAGCATAGCTCAATGGGTCACGGGGGCACGCCAAGGTCCAGTCTCGTTGCGACGGAAGTGATGAAGTATACGATGAAGGACTTTTCGCAAGTATTGCGACGCTTGTTGAGTAAATGTGGGATTAACACATCCGATGCCGGGGTGGAAATCAGGGTGGCTTTCACCGAAGCAAATTCCATCAGGATATGTTAGCTGCTAAAAATAGTACAGGTAGGTAATTTGGATGCCCATGAGGAGAGCTTAAAGAAGGACGGCTGCTGATATGAAACAGATGACCAAGTATATCCTGTGAGAATCGTGCTGGAAAATCCATTCAATCACCTATCTTTTATGAGCGTCTATGCAGTTTCTGGAAGAGAGTTGTCATCAAGTGTCACCAGCAGCAAAAGTACATAAGCACACAGTATTTGTAATTCAATGATATATTGCCGAAGGCACCAGGCCAATGCGGAACGAGACTGCAGCCTAACGTGCTATGAGTAGATGCGAAACACCGGATTGTTGGGTCATACTGGACTCCGCCCCCAAACGGCTCTTTAGGGCCAGTGCACAATGGTTAGAGACGTAGTATAAACCGTCTCCTTGATATTGCGGTCGCACTAGTTGATGCCAAAACCGCTCACTTAACTGGAACTGGGGGCCTTGGTTATATCCAACCCAAAAAACAATCATCGCTTCAGCTAAGACTTTAAGGCTCATGCTGCAACGGCGGTACCATAATTCTCTGGTGGTCGACTTATTTGCTGCCAACAGCAAGATTGGCATGTAGTACATACGAAAACAGAGTACAGCCGATGCAGCCTCGCCATGTGGTTGGCCGGTAGCCGAGTGGTCTGCGCGTCTGGCTTACAACCATAAGGTTACCGGTTCGAATCCGCGTAGGGGTGGGCGTCCTCGCGGTAGACTTAGCCCACACGCGACTAGTGGTGGTCGCGTGGCAGCGAAGCATCGTTATGACATACAGCTAGCGATTTATTTTTTATTTTATCTGGTTCACTCGCGTCTCACTCATAAATAACACTCCGCTTGTCGTTCACAGCATAAGGCATGACAGCTCGGGCAACCGCAGAATTTTTTATCCGCATGGGGTTCAACGTCTGTACAGAAACATAGGCAGACAAACCGATAGTACTCAACTGTAGGCACACTGAACACCATGTAAGCTGGCGTGTGACGCGCAGCTAGGAAACCATCCTTATGCGTTGTTGAACTAGCTTTGGCCAGCCTATTTTCCCGCTGTTGGATGCACACACACATCCGTGGCTCCGAAGATTGTTCTGAAACGAGTACCACCACATCGTGCTCACCAAACGCATCCTTGTTGTGTGGTTAGATTCTCGTGAACAGCCTTCTGAGTGCAGCTCGCTTGACAAAGCAATTAAGCTGATAAAAATGGACAGTGCTGGAAAACGTCTATTCGCGATCGTTGTTTACGCTACAGTCGACTACAGTGATGATGTTTCCAAAGATGCATCTAACCACCGAAAGAGTACGGCACTAAGCAGTGTTACTAGTGAAAATATAACCAGTTCCTGTGGATAGTAATGCATAAGCAGGTCATGTAATCCACTCACAAACTCAGGGGAATTGTGGGCCAAACAATGGGTGTAGAAACAATGGTGGTCGTCCATTGAACATGGGCTGCTTCCAGGCAGCATCACATATAGCCACAATGGGCACTGAAAGGCTATGTGGCGTCCTCCGGTATCTGACCTGCGATGGATTCATAATGACGGGACCGCCCTAGGCTAGAGGTGGTATGGTTACGTCCTGTACTGCTAAGTTTTAAACGTTACCTGGATTACAGACGTGTTTCGCAATGCTCTCGACTTTACTGGAAATTTAGTGGAAAGTACAACAAACAAATTCTACGACTAGAGCCCGAGAAACTCCCTAAGCAAACGATTAGGCAAGTCTGCCTGGAAGCTTCGTGCATTCAGGTAAACTCTTTGGATATAGAGCTTTAGTGGAATAGAGTTACCACCGCTACTAGCAACGTTGTCTGTCAGCACACTAGAGACTAAATACTCGCATGGTGGTGAATCAGCTGAAATATGGAAGAATCTATGGTAGTAATGGACACAATGCATCCGTGTAGACTGTCAGATACGAAATAAAACGAAGTACGCAAACTGACCGGTAATCCTTGTGGACTCACGCATCCGGAAATGCCGGAGGCACGAAGGAGAGGCAGTTATTGGAAACTCCTCCAGCTGATCTGCATCAGTGGTCGCAGGGAAGTATCGCTCGGTGAAACAACCATGGATAAAACTGATAACACGATTCATGGTTAGTAACACCATCTATCAGGTTGGGTGGAGCGCTTTCAAGGGTACTGCAGTTGTACTCCTGCTCCTGAGTCGCTTCGTGCTCAGACGGTGCAGACCGAACCGTGATTGATTATTTGTGATTGAACCGTGAGCAGTAAGTTTGGAAGCATAATATAAGCCGTCATTCGAATTGCTGTCACAGTCGTCAACCGTCTCCGTCCTACCTGTCAGAATTACCTCATATACTCGTCAATAAAGCAGTGATGCGGTTGCCTGCAAGCACTGACGCACCTATCTTAACAAGTATGGGAGGAGATTATCACGATTAACTATTACTGCCCAAGAACGTCGATGGCAACTTTTCATTCTGGAAACGGGGTTACCAACCTGACGACGAAAGTGATAGGAAGGTTGACCTTCATTCCCAAACACCAGCTCACTAAGCTGGAATCCTGGGCAAGAGAAAAACAACCAGACTACTGGCCAAAATAGATCACGGAGATATGCGGGCGGTTACACCATGTTAAGGCCGTTTTATTGCTCACAATACGAGGAGCGGTACATCGTAACCACCTGTTGGTGTATCGTTACTATGCAAAGAGAAAGTAATGGGACGGATCCCAGTAATAAAATAAGGTAAGGAAAGTGAAAGGTTTCAAATTTAACATCTGAACTCGTTGAGGAAACAACCAGAATGAAGGCACTAACGTTAATGAATTCCGTACGACAGGCTTCCTCGTAAAGAAATAGTGGGAAGCTTCTTTGTTGCGTTCATCCCCCAAAACTACCAACAAGTTCGCACAAGTAGATAAAAGTATGGCTAGCAAACCACAACAGAACACTAATGTTTTATGGATGACGTCTCGAGTGTGTGGAGGATATGATCAGCCTTTTCCATACATAACAGAGAATAGATGAGTCGCAGTGACAGTGTAAAGAAGGGTTTAAGGAAGTACCTGGCCAAAGTGTGGACGCGATCGGTGTTGCGCTGCATTGGCGTGATCCGGTTGCGTAGCAGAGTGACTGCAGGCATCACCTCGTTTGCTTCCAAATGTTCCAAAAAACGCTGCTCCAAAAGCAAAAAACGAACCTCCTCCGCACTCTCCGAGTCTCCAATCAGAGGAGCCAGGCGATCCACAGCCGCTTCGGCCTGAAATAAATCAACCAATGTTGAGTCCAGGAAAGCTTGGGGATGCAAGATGAAGGAAACAACTGACTAATTACAGGATGCAAAAGAAGTTAAAATCGGAACAATGGAATTTGGAAAGTTACATCTGTAAAAGCCAACCCACTTCAAATGCGAAGACAAGGAGCACCAAGCTGTGAAGTAATAACCGGTTCTAGTCCAAACTGTGAGTTGCGAAACGGTGGTTACTAGATTCCCATGTGAGAAGCAGCCAGTGGAATTCGACACTAGGGATGATCCGCTATAGGCACTCAGATTATGCTCGCCATAAAATTTTATACATATCTACTTATTTCTATTGTGGTATGCCGGAGTTTCAAGCGTCATCCCTGTCCTCTGGAAAGTTCGTAACCTGTGATAGTGGAGGATGAGTTGCGACGGCCTGCCCCCGTCACTCATGGCTCGGCGGCCCAATTCACCGGCTAGTAAGAATAGGGTCATGGGTTCAGATCCAGCAAAATACGGTGGATACGCGTCACTGGTGAATCCCATTGAGATAAAATGACCGTTTAGCGCTGTTTCGGATGCATGCGATTCTGTATCGCTAGAAGCTGAGTGCGATGACCAAACTACAAAGTCAATCTTTACCACCGACAAAACAATACAAAAGACTAGGCGATAAATCTCAAGCAAACTCTGGACAGGCTCCGACACATAATGAGTGAGAAAAGACTTGAAGTCGCCAGTGAGGTAGGCTCATGGCAACGGAAGAGCAGTATATTTTCAAAATGCCGGGCCGTGACGTTCTCGGAAACTGCTCTGCTAACAAATGAACCGCGTGAATAGGAAAGTAAAGTAAATGGAAGGTGAAATGCAGCCTTGGTTAAGTTGGGGGCAAGTATGTATGTATTCTCAACAGTCTATTAGCTAGACAAAGAGCCAGCCTAAAACCATGGAGATAAGGAGATAAGCAAGATTAATGGCGTCATAATCATCGTGGCATGCTAGTTGAAGGTGAGCAACACACTTCAACTAATATGCCGCAGGAAGAATGGAACATTTTGATAAAAAGCAGAACAAACATTTTTAGTTTGTTTTTCACACGCCGCTTTTGTTCTTTTTTTGTCATTTTAATGTTTGTAGAATTAAACATGTGAATCAATACAATAATGTACACAATTCTTCCACTGATTCCGGTTGCGGGCCATATCTTCAAGAGTGCTAAGCCATTGGCACTCCTCATTTTTGGGTCCCCATCCTGGAAGACGTACGGATCCTACAGCGGCTAGACACGACGTCAGCGATTTCATGTGCTGCCGCCAAGTGGAAGGCTGACCACCACGCGGTCGCCTCCAGCCAGGTCCTTGACGAGCGAATAGAGCGCGACGCGGTAGACGCTCAGGTGTCATGCGTAGAACGTGACCGAGCCATCTCAACTGGCGCAACAAAACCAGTTTGTTGAAGGGAATACTCGCATTCCCCAAGACGCGACGTCGAACGTCATTACTATTTACTCGATGTTGCCACCAAACACGCGCGATCCTCCTTAAGCAACCGCTATCGAACGCAGAAAGACGACGCATGTCTTCCATGCGAAGCGGCCAGGACTCGCACCCATACAACAATATTGAGCGAACTGATGCACTGTAAACTCGGCCCTTTAGTGAGAATGAGACGTCGCGACGACGCCACAAGTGCCTCAAATTGACAAATGCCGATCGAGCTTTAGCGATACGAAGAGAAACTTCTTTGTTGATAGTGCCATCGGCAGAAATGGGCAAGTGGATACGGAGCAGCGAGGATTAACAGGTGCGCAACAAAAAACAAGGACGACCCGGAAAAAACGGAGAGCAAGTAATATATGGTGAATCAGTAAACCAGTGGTGAGACTGGGCCTTATTGTGTTGTGATCGTTTGCGAGCCTCAACAAACCATTGAGGTGGGTGGTGCACCTAGCAACTGCAGAGTCACTCACACTATATTCGTCAGAAGTCATACAAACTCAGTTTTTTTTTTGATTCTACAGGCTGGGGGTTGGAGTGAAAAGTTCTCCTTATTTCTTAAAACGGAACTCCCGTAGCCCAATGCTAAACTTCCGTTGCTTTGTGGTCAGGTTTATTAACCGAAGACTTTGAGTGAGAATCTTATTCGTTCTTGTGTCTAACCCTGGGAAACTTGACAGTAGCCTGCCCAAGTAATACAATGAAAGCTTATTCAAGCAATTTATTAATACCATGGTCGTCGCAGACGACAATCAACGGTACCCTATCCGCTGCACAAAGCAAGGGGGATGGGGGTGAAGGTAATACTACTTAGTCCTTTCCGTCTTCATATTCCCTTCCTGCGGTTTTTCATCCTTAATGTCTCGTTCTAAATTCAATTCCTTCCCCCATCGCCCAATTTTCGGCCAATCCATAACTTGCCTTGATAGTTTTTAACCCCACACGAAGTTGCAGAAGATCGCTCTTGTCCAATCGCCCACCCCATGTCCAAACAAGTGGACAACCTCAGTTAATCTGCTGCTATCTGGAGCCCTTGATCCTCCCTAAGACCGGCAGCTATCAATGTGCGAACCTTGCGGCATATCGGTCAACAAACAGCACATATCCAAAAATTATAGTCCCATATCTACGGCTTATCAGAAACCTGTCAGCAAAAGCTGAGCTCATGTAACGCTCGTACGACTTTCCCAATGCGTCTATCCGAAGATAATGGAGCTTCAAATACCGACCAAGCAGGTGTGAGTAATGCTCTGAGTACTCCGACTGAAGTTGCTCTGATCGACTAGATCCTAGCCGGTAGCCAAGTGTGTGCCATCCGACTAGCTCGCCGGTTCTTCGAGCTCATATATAGCTGTACCCACGGACGCCGCGGATTTTTGGATCAACGTGTGCTGGATACTACTTTTGCCTCAGATTACTGTGTTAGCAGCGTTTTATCTGTGTGAATTGTGCACCATTATTCTTCTTTTGGCGTATTTTCCAAGCGGTACAAATTTGGGAGCTATTCTTTGGCTAATTCCGGAGATCTCACTGATTTGCCATACTGCCATCTCTGTCCGCCATCTTGGATTTGCTCCAGCTTGTGATGCCGTCTCAAGCTACTTGTGGTTCGTGTTCGAAAGTTGTGGGAAATAAGGCTCATGCACTTCGATGCTTCAGCTGTGATGTTTTGTTCCATATTTCGTGCATTGGCTTATCCGTTGACGTGTTTCGAAAATCGCTTGACATCCGACATCGGTTTTTTCAAGTTATATGTGATAAATGTCGCGGTAAAAGACATCAGAATACGAAGCGACCGCAAACAAGTACGGAAAAATCTCTCTTTCAGATAGAAACAAACCGTTCACCACGTGGGATCAAACGCCCTCGTGAAAGTACCTCTGTCACCTCGCCTTCTATTGTCACTCCGCGATCTGCACCACCACCAGCGTCTTCGACCCCGGCCGAACCCAAGGTTCAATGTTTCCCACCGATGGAAGACTCAGACTCAGAAGCTACGAAATGCCGCTTCACTGATCGGTCCGTGAATTTCTCAGAGCCTGTCTGTGAACTTCTGAACACCGAGGATCCATGGACCACTCAAAAGCGCAAGGGCCCACGTAATCAAGTTCAGACGTCACCTGCTGATAAACAACTACCCAATCAGTTAAGCGCCTCTAGTTCTGCTCCCACAGGTTCAGCACTGATTTCGCTAAGGCGTCATGATCTCATGGTCTTTCACGTACCGGAGTCAAAAGATGAAAACCCTCAGATACGTTATGAGCACGATGTTGAGTTCCTCCAGGGGCTCATCGATAGACTCTTGGATGTAAGCGAGGACAGTGTGACGATTAAACAAGTAATCCGACTTGGCCAGAAAACTAACCAGTCATGTCGACCTCTGAGGATCACCTTTGCAAATCCCAATGTGCCGCAGCTCATACTGTCTCGTCTGTCAAGGCTGAAAGGCATAAAAGTTCACATCCGCCGAGATTTGGAACCCGAGGACAGGGAACGTTTGAAGACTGCGGTCATTGAGCTCAAACGCCGTACAGAGGGAGGTAAGACTGACTTACAAGTTGTAAATTTTCGGGTGATCAAGAAGGGTGTACGAACCCGTATCAATCGGTTGCTCAACCTCCAGGCACGTCCCGCAGTACCTCCCAGGACCTCCGTGTCGCATTCGCCAACGTGTGCAGCCTAATGAACAAACGTGACGAACTGTGCCGCTTCGCTGTCTCGGAGCGGCCGGACATTTTAGGACTTGCAGAGACATGGTTGAACTCCGACATCATACCCCAAGAAGTCGTGTTGTCAGGATACTCTTGTTTCCGATGTGACCGAAAATCAAAGGCTCACGGTGGTGTTCTGTTGTACATAAAATCGTCACTATCTGGCAAACTTATCAGTACCTATCGGAGCGAGGATAGTTTATGCGAGCAATTGTGGTGCACAATCCGTCTCAGGCGCGCAGAACTAATTGTGGGGGTTATCTACCGGAGCCCATTAAACCGTTGCTGCGATTGGATACCACATGTACAGAAGCACATGAGCCGTCCTCAGTTCTTACTGATGGGGGATCTAAATTTACCTAAGATAATTTGGCCAGATGTTCGACTTCTTCCCGGTCATGGCAACGTTGAGTCTCAATTCGCTAAAATGACTATTGAAATTGGGGCAACGCAACATGTCATCCAACCGACGCGCATAACTCCGTACTCGGCATCTTGTCTGGACCTAATGTTTACGAGCTGCGAGCAAAAGCTAAAAGAGATCAGAGTCATCGAACCTCTGGCGAACAGTGACCACTGCTCTATTGTAGCAAGCTTAGAACTGTCGTTACCATATTACAATCAACAGAAGCCGACATTCAACTATTGGAAGACGGACTTCAACGGACTCGTCCAAGCCGCAAGTCAGACTGATTGGACACTACCACATGATGCGTTACTTGAGGGGTGGTGGTCATTAATAAAGGAGAAGCTTAACTCGCTCTGTAATCGGTTCGTTCCCCTTAAGTATCCAAAAATCGGACCTGTCAAA